GGGCGTATATATATATATATTTAGGCATGAGGCAGTTTCTCTATATGTATTCATCAGTGATGATATCACGAGGTAATGAATAGGATAACGGTGAGTAATACTTTCCAGTGTATGAAAGAGTTCCCTACAGAATAAACGAAATTAAATAGGATCCTCATCTCAAAAAGACTTTATTTCCTTACAAAGCAGGCGAACAAAGATACAAAATTGCAAGCTGAGAGTCCAAACCCATAAATAATAATCATAGTGATTTTGATTGGACAATATGTTAGCCACATGTATTTCAGGGTCATTCAGTCGGCTGTTTACTTTGGTCATCAATTCTCCCAATTCATAATCGTCGAGACATAATGACTCACTGAATTCGAACTTAGAATATTGTGCAGAAGTGCGGCACTTCAAGTTGTCACTCTCCACGTAGCACACAAAGGTAGGGAAAACAAAGAATTCAAAAGAACTGTCATGAGTAGAAATAGGTGGGGAGAAAGATTAATTGCGTGGAGACTTAATAGATTTGGGAGGTGAGCCGTCGAGAACAGTTTTGAGCCAGATTACCCACAGCCTGAAGCCATTTGAGGCTGCGTAAATTAACAATCTAAAACTCCATGGATTGGTGCCAGGTTTTCCTCTGACCATCCCTAGCTAATCCTATGTCAGCTAACATCAAGGTTGGCGGTGGCTCGACATAGATGACATGTGCCCCTGTCATCTCATTCTACGTATCTTTACCACCTCACCGACTGGCTTTCCCTCCTTACCTAACTCTCTACACGTAGCCTTAGTATTATGCAACATATTATACCACTTAACACGGGAGATGGAATGTAATCATGTATGATCACAGAAGGTTAGCCTCTTCTGATCTTCCACTTTCAATAGCCATGTCTTACAGCTATAAAGAAGGATGAAGTGAACTGCTGAGCAGTAAACACGTCCTTTGATCAGTAGCAGCTACTCATGATATCCTATCGTCACGTTTTGTTATTTGGTGTGCACATATGAGACAAATGTTTTTCAGTCACTTTTGTTCATTTCTAAACCGTGTACACATATTCTGAGTTATTTGAGTCAGAGTGTACAGTATGTACGTTAACATGCTCTCAAGAGTTTACCGCAAATTTCTCTCACTCCCACCCCTCCCCCGAACCATCCAGATATTATTACCACAAATTTGTGCATCCCTTGATCTAGATACATATTTCCCTCGTGCAGCTTTCATTTTCTGTGTAGACGATCAAAGCCAGCAAAAATAATTTCAAAATCAAAGGATTTGAGTAATTGTAATTGCGCTTGACAAGCTGTATTAATAGTGCCTACCTTGATGATAACCATGGATGTGAATAATTATTTCTGTAGTTTGTTGTATTGTCATGAGTGTATATATATACAAGCAAATATGTATTTTATATGATCGCTTCATTGACCTGATTGATATCTGACCTTACAAGTTCATCATTAAAGTGCATGATATTATTATAATTACCCTATATTTGTTTCTATTTCATATTTTCTACTTACCTAATAGTAAATACTAGATGGTAAATTTTCGATTATCATGGGCCATGGTTGGCGATGGGGTAGAAGGCTTTTTTCAGTCATTATTGTATTCACACAGTTTATATTTAGAATATTGGCTTTTCTAGGGATTTAGACTAACTTCAAAGTGGATTTCGTTTGGAAACAACATCAGTTAGAGGGATCATTGAAAACCATGGGGAGCTGGACAGTTGTTTCATCCTAGGCTAGGACTCTTTATCAGTGCACACCAACGGTCTCATCGAGGATCCAACCCGAGAACTTCAGGTTGAGACTCAAGCTCACTGACAGCTCAGCTCCTTGGATCAGAGTTCGATCCCCGGTGGGATCGTGGGGGGAGCTCTGATAAAGAGTCCCAAACCAAGACGAAACATTCGTCTAATGCTTCCTGGTTTTCGATTATCTCTAACTGATTTTGGCTAGTGACAAGATCTACATTGAAACAAATATATATATTTAAAGTTATAAAACATGTTAAATATAGCACAACAGAGTGTCTGACTTCGATATAAGGTTTATTTTTCCAGTGCTTCAGATACTGTTTTCTAATAGGCATGGATTCATGCAACAGTATCTACTACAAGATAGTGTAGACACTAAAACATGAAGTCACTGACCGTTAGTTCGAGCCATGTAGGGAGGCGTATATTGTCTGGCTGGGGTGACGCTAGGGTTGGAAACTTTTGGTGATATGGCTCAAAATCGTTCTCATTGGCGCACATATGCATTCATGCCTTGTGATCCCACTGATATGTTAACTTCTCATTATTCTCTATTTAACTATTCTTTCTCTCTCGAACATCTCGGTTTGTTGAAGTTTCATAGGAATCTCTTTTTATTCTGTGCTGTCGTTTGTGCTTTTATGAACTACTAATACACTTTTGTCCAACCTAGTACGTTGAAAAATTCAGACAGTTCAGTTCACAATAGACTGATTAAGTTTTTGCATGATTTCACTTGGTTGTCACAGTTTACATCATATTACCAATCTAGCTGTTCACCTTGAAAACTGAGTATCTTCGATTCACATCGTTAACATCTCACATTTAAATCAACCACTGCTGTTGAGACCTTCTGGAATAATCCTGTATCTTTGATCATTGTTCTGCTCATATTGATAAATATTTTAAAAGGGGTAAGTAATCACCCCTTTTGAGCGATAAGTAAGTCCCGCATGGTCTAGTGGTCCTGGCATTCACCCTGGCGCCTATCAAGCGTGAGGTCCAGGTTTGATTCCTACTTGATATACTCTTAAACTTCAACTTGCCGGTAGTAAACCCGCGAAATGACGAAAGGTTAGGCGTTATGCCAGCAACTCCCGCCCCCGCCACGAAAACAACACCCACGCTACTGAAACTTAAGAAAAACTTAGAGCCCTGTTCTACTCGGAACGCAAGGAATGAAGGAATATTAGCTAAAGTTAAACTAGGTTGGAAAGAAGTCAAGAGTGATCAAACCAGAAAAGGTAGCATCATATCATGAAATTACTAACTGTCTCTCTGAGTAAAGCACTTAAGTTTATCTAGCTTACTTGCTTGCTTAAGGCACTCTGGATGTTGAAAACCAGTAATTAGACACTTTTAATGGCATGATTCAAAACTGTTAACAGTGCCACGTATAAATTCTCTGTTTATCATCTTCGACATTCTGAATAGGTTCACTATACTTCATTGAACTTATGTCTTTTTCACACGTGTTTGTTTGTGTGTGTGTGTGTAATAAAACTTTTGTTGCCTGCATAATTTGTTGTAGTGTTATAACTTGAAAAGTTCTTTGACTGAAAAGTCAGTTCCTGATCGATCAAACTTGAAATCAATCATTTTTTTGGGGGGGGGACTCTTCATCAGTACTCACGCATGATCCCACCGGGGGTCGAACCTATGACTTCTGTCACTGGACGTGAACATTGAACGTTTGTTTATTGGAACTGGCAGCCATTGGTGGGCAACTCGAAGGTGCGAATAGTCCTGTCGTGTACAAGTTCGAAGACGGCAGAAGAATACGAATAAAAACTGTCAAGGAACTTAGCCTAAGTTCCTATTGTAACGAAGACGCTCGGAACCGATAATTACGATGTACTTGTCTCGACTTCAACTCCAAAACACTAGTGGTTGTAATTCTCTCTACTTTAACTGCCAAACAATATAACCTCCTTCTTACAACCACTGATGTTTTGGAGTTGAAGTCGAGACAAGTACATCGTAATTATCGGTTCCGAGCGTCATCGTTACAATAGGAACTTAGGCAAAGTTCCTTGACAACTTCGTTAACCATTCAACCACTGAGACTGATTTCAACATGAACTTCTGCCAATTTGCGATAATAATGATTTTGATTCCTGAATCAATTAGTTTGTAGTGATTTACGATATTTAGTATACATCCTTGCTAAGAGAAATAGCCAATTCAGTTCTTCCCTTGTCTTTGCCCAGTTTTTGTTTGTTTTTATAAATTGAATTCATTTACATGTTACAATGTTTAAGGAGATTATATTTCTAAATGAAATTGATTGTAAATTGGAATATTTTATGTGTTGGTTCTCAGGGATTTGAATGATTTCAAATTAGGTTACGAACAGATATCTGTTAAGGAATTACTGATAACCAAGGAGTATTAGATAACTGTACCGTCGATTGGCAGGAGTTAGAATTCATGGGTCATTGGATTTTCATCACAGTGGCTGGAATAATCAACTGGTTCAATCCACGGTGGGGTCATTGGTGGTTCCTAGCTGCTAAGACAAAACAGCTGTCTAGTACTTCCTGGTTTTCACTAGTTGTCTAATTGATATCAGATCGTGATCTCACCTGAAATCGGATCAGACTTTTCAAGTCAATGGATCTCAACTTGGCAAACGAGATATATAAGGATAAGCTATTAGAAATGAACCGTGATTTTAAAATAATAGAGAATATTTGTAGCTCAGGCAGATATTTCTGATGGAGTTTTGTTCTGTGAACTGTTGACAGTTTGACTGAGAAACTTTCATTGTCCTTCTGAATGGAATTCTGTATATCAAGATTCATGGATTTATAAGTGTAAAGCCTTGAAAAGAAGTTATTGAAAACAATTGTGCTCTCTTAAATCATTCTTCTTCTGAACACACAAATTACCAAAATCTGTTGACACAATTAATCACACGCGTCAAGAAAGACAGCTAGTTTATTCATGGAGAATTCCAAAGATCACTTCATTTTACCCGTTAGCCTTGAAGATGTTAGCTTTGCTCAGTTAGACTGTCCAACCCTAAGAACACAACTACCCCGGAAATGGGAGTTCAGAGGCAGTATCCCCTCCCCCCAGTGTATTTATGAATAGCTCACTAATAAATACTGGGTATCATTAGTAGAGAAACACACCCTACAGGCTTTTTTTCAGAAAGAAGCCGACTGATTGACATTAGTTATTTTGATTGAAGAATTAATGAAATTTTTGTTTTGTATTGTCCACATTCAAAACTTTTAGATTGTTGGTGGTCGTACATCGCCTGTATTGAATGGAAAATCGCATGTTTCAAATGCTGCATACAAATTGCCAACAGTTGAACGTGAGTACATAGAAATGTCCTTTTTTGCTGTTTACTCTCATAATACTTATTTTCCTGAATTTATTTTATTCTTTGTCCGTTTAAAAAAAATTTCAAATGTCAAAGACAAACTTTATACACGAATTCCCCTTTTTATTGAATTTGAATGAAAGTAATGTCACTACAAAAACATGTGGAGTAGGATAAAAACGGATTCATTGTTTATTTTTGTCGGTATCTTGTCAACTAAATGCAACATACTTTAGCTCTTATTAGATGGTTTGATGTGCAATCGGTAGGAAGCCTTCAACCTAGGTCTCGTGTTTGTTGGCATTCACCGGTCAGCAATCTTCAAGGAACTCATGCGCTTTCGGAGGTCGATCACCAGCATGAATAGCTCAGTGATAACGTCTCTGACTGCAACACTGGTTGACTCAGGTTCGAATCTCGAATAGGACATGAATTCTTTCAAGATTACAGATATGCCTTGCTGACACTGGTGAGTACCAACAATCACGAAATCTAGGTCAAGCAAGGCTTTCTGCCGATTAGCTCCAAACATCTGATAAAAACAGTTCAGAGTGCTTCGTGATTGCGCACCACCTAGTATGGTAGTCGCATTACAGTCAGTTTGTACCAGCACCAATGACTAGACACATGGCAATACTTACTTATTTATTACCTTGTGTTCAATCAAATCATACTTTAGTTTCTTGGAGATAAATTGTGATATTAGATAGTTGGAGGCAACCGGCAGGAAGCCTTCCACCTAGGTTTCGTGCAAGTTGGCACTCACTAGTCAGCAAGGCGTATCTGCAACCTTGAAGGAACTCATGTCTCTTCTGAGACTCGAACTCGCGTCACCCAGTGCTGAAGTCAGAGACTTTAACACTCAGCTATTAGGGTTTGCTCGCGATTGACCTTCTGTAGGACTGTACAGGGTATTTTGATTGGACACTAGTAACTATTGTTTAGTGTGATCAAGGTTCGTCGAATGAAATAGAAAGTGTGGAGTAAAGATAGCAGCAAGATACTGAGGTACATAAATTGTGAGATTACCTAAGTCACTATAAAATTGTTGATACGTAAACAAGAAGCCTCTTTATATATGACTGCAATTCAAGGGCGATATACCAAGCGAAATAATTACGAAGAAATTAAGAAAATCTGTTCAAAGAACTTTTAATGCTGGCGAACTACACGTCTTATTCTCCACACGACCGATGGTGATTCCTCAACTGAAAGATGAAGTACCTAGACTAGCCACTTCAAATTGTATCTACCAATTCAACTGCGCTTGTGCTGGAGTGAGTTATATCGGCCGTTGCTCTAGGAACTTGATTTTTCGTGCTCGAGAACATCTCCCAGTGTGGCTAAGTAAAGGTGTAGTGAAAACTATCAACAGTTCGATATTGGACCAAATAGCAGAGGCTATTGCAATTCGTGTGAAACAACCAGTGCTCTGTGTACAAAAGAAGCAAGTCCAGCCACTACTACTGCCCTGGCCCTCAGTAGAAACTATAAAGTCATGAATTTGTAATATTATATTTCCTAATTTTTCTGACATTCAGCTTTTTGTCACGTTGATGCTACTGAACTGTAATTTATTGATATTATCAATTCGCTGTTATTTAAACAACATTAATGTTGTTCATAACACTAATTTATTCATTCCCTATAATGTATATATAACTGTAGAGCCTGATGATGAAGTTGTCGAAAAGAGTACTCTTTGTTCAGTATCCATTCTTTTGAAAATTTTAATGGACATTTCTAATCAGTTAACATCAAGAAATGTTGTAATTTAACCTCATTTTGGTGTAGATATCAGGAGTGTGAAGTATGACGCTTATTAAGTGATGAAGTAACTAAGTCAGATTGAAAAGAAGTCAACATTTACATTAAAATAAAAGATGATATAATCAAGTGAAGTTAGCAGACGAGTTATCAAGATAGAGAAAGACTTAATACAGCTTCGTTTTGAGCACATAAATGAAGTTTTAATTGTTTTATAGTGATAAACTCTACGAACTCAGCATCTTGTTACTGCTACCCTAGCTCCCCACATTTTATTTTATTCGAGGAACTTCGATCACATTTTGTATATAAGTACAGTAGTAATATTTTATATTTTATTAATTTAACATTTCGATTCATCTTTATAACCATGATCAGTCTTAATTATTGTTCCACGTTTTATCTTCCCGCTATTGACTGGCTGCGGAAGGAAGTTGTCTGGAGTTCTTTTGAGAAATCGTAACCATTAGGGTCCAACCGGTTGGCAGTGAGCACAAATCCTCACTGATGACATTGACCGGTGGTAGTCATGCTGAAATCACGAATTGGTAGAAGGTAGAATTCATGGACTGGCCATTGAGTCGGGTGCCAGTGACTGAATGGTCTACAAGTTTGCCATGTAACCGGAAGATCCTGGGTTCGAACTCTAGGGGTGGGTGGGGACTGCCGACGAGTCCCAAACTGGGAAGAAAGATCCGTCCAGTACTCTCTGGTAGTTTTCATTGATTCTCTAACTGATATCAACCAGTGATCAAACTCGGAACTAAAGTATGATAAAATTGTTATATGAAACTGCTTTATACTTCATTATTTAAGTTATGTGTATCTGACAAGCCATCGACAAAATGAACAATGCATCCGTTCTAGGTTTTGATCACTAGCTGACGACAGTTAGAGAACCATTGAAAAAGCCAGAATCCTTTTTATCCTGCACCATGTGTTGTTATTGCTTTGTTCAAATTCACAGACAAATAATAGATTTAATGTTATTGCTTGTCACTATATCGATAGAACAGATTTCTATTTGAAATGATCAGTAAATAACTCTTCACTGAGATGGAATGCTGTGTAGGCGATGATAATCTCTCGATTGTTAGAAAATCAAAATCAGTATAACTAGTGATCAAATCATCAAAGTGATGTTAATATCACGCGGTATATCTTCTCTGGCTTTCGTAGATATTCTATTCTGCTGACTATTAAGAAGAAAACTGAGATTTTTGAGCGATTTCCCATTAGATATTCAGAACATGAAAGATTTAGGGGAGAGCAATTGTTCTCAATAGCCTAGGCTTTATTAAACTCATTAATCCATAAAGATTATATAATAATAATAATAATAATAGCTATGTTTATATACGCATAATGTACAGAAGTTTCAGAAGAAATTATTCCATTAAAGTTTCTTTTTGTCCAGCATCTTCAAGTAAAATAATAATTGACAAAGTAGAGATTGTGTGAGAAATTACTGTCTGACCTGAAGCGACAACCAATCCCTTACGATATTTCTTCTTTGTCTCCTTCGAGAAATGCACAACATCTGGTTGAAGGTGTAGGAGTACATTTCGAGACCCAAGGACATATTATAATAAGTGAATAATTGAAGACTACAGGGTTTTTTTATTCCTGTGCCTTCCCAGTGGAACACAGGGCTTCAGGCTTGAAGTTTCTGTAGCAGTGGTGTTCATTTTTACGGGATGAGATTGCTAGCTTTATACGCAACCTTCCCTCTTTATCAGTCTTGTTACTGGCTTAGCGAGGATTAGGAGTGCGTCAGTGGCCGGGGATCGAACTCCAGATCACAGGCGTGGTCGGTGAGCATTCTACCGCTGTGACACCGACGCACAAAAAACTACATGTAGTTGGATTTATTTCTCAGGCACTAGTAGTTTATGGTAAGAATGTCAGAAACGGTTACCTCCTGTATTGGGATACATTGCCACCCATAATTTTGCTTTCACTCAAGTTTAGTAGAAACCTGCAAATCAGCAGGTTGTCGATATTTTAAATACTCGCGAGAGTAGAAAGCGTCATTAGAGGTGATATTTTAACAGATTAAAACAAACTGAATATGCCTTCGAATTCTGTCCACCATATTGTTATGTCTAACGTGATCATAATTATACCTCTTAATATTTATAGATTTATAAGCCTGTAGAATCTAACAAAGAAGGATATCGAAAACAATTTTTTGTTTTGCTAAAAATATTTTTATTTTGAAAATTGAGATTGTTATGACAGTTAAATGGGATGGGATGGGATAAGAAGGAAGACACTAGTTCTCAATTTAAGTGAATGAATTATTTTGACTAAACGTGTGTTAACCAATCAAGTTAAGGGTAATATTTGATTGCTTCTTAAATAAGCAGATAACTGTGTTCAGTTGTAACGGTGGAAGACGAAAGACTTGGTAAAGGAATATTTATTTTCGGAATTTGGTATCTCTATATAGCAAAATTATGTACAGCTTATCTTCAACACACCATTCTGCCTAGATCTTCCGTGTTGTGCTACTTCTGGCCTCCCTTTCACGTCTCCTAAGTATCTGCGCAACTCTGTATTATTTGTTTTCTCTGACATTAAATCTATCTCCCTGTTTTTGATGTTGTTTATACATATACTACTGATAAATCTTATCAGTAGCACGCGATACACACTGAATACAGATTCTAGATGTACAACTATGCCAATTTCACGTAGTTTTCGTTGAAAACTGTATTCATTCGGGTAATTCGCCTCTTGCATTACTGTCATTATAGACTAGTTCAATATATTTCAGTCTCATAGAGTTACTTTTAGGACAAGAAGAAGAGTGTTACGAGTCAGTATTCCCCATGAGATCCATAAATCAGATATTGAACCCTAACCTCACTGAATTTTTACTAATACATGCTATCCAGTCAGAGCATAGTTTTCATATCTTAAAGCTGTATTTTATTGGTCATGTGAAGTAAACCATACAAAGTCACGTAACATTGTTGAGCACTTTGGCGCTCTGTATTCAATATTCAACGTCAGAAAGGGTCAAGTAGCAGGGAATCTTGGACTCAAATTTCATATTTGTTCATACTTATCAGTCACTGCCTGCATGAAAGACTTTCTAACAGTAAGCTACTCATGCTGTAACTGATTCTCATTCAACCTGAATTACTCAGACGAAAATTTCCCCAGTAATGTAGTCAAAGAAATGTGAATTTTACTCAGTCTTTTCGCCAGCATTTTTTATGACTACCAACTAGGGAAATTCTATTGATTAACTCCGGGATATCACAACTAATGAAAACAGCACACATATTGACTGTTATCAAGATATTTTATCCAGTCACACTTGGGAAGACTCCATAGTTTCTTGAATTCTGAAGCTTTCATTGGTAATTTAACCTAGAAACACGATAGAATATCTCCATTAGCCTTAAATGCCTTAAAGAACGCCATTGTATTGTCCATTAGTAGACTTATTTTCTGGATAGAGTGGTGCTAATTCATCCTCCATTTCGTGGTTGTTGTGAGGTGTTTTCATTTCAGCAGATTTATAGTTTTAGCTGGGTAATAAGTGAAATTTCGTTCATGTTTCCTCCCCAATCATTTTTTTGGAAAATTTCTACTCATTTGTACTGTCAAATGGTATGCTTTGGACAATGTAACTAAGTCTTCATAGATCTGAATTGTTTAACTCAGGAGTTATAACTGATGTTATTTCCACTGAAAACTAATTTTATAGTAAATTCGTGAACTACTCACAAGTAGTCAGTAATTTATATGGAATAATTCAAAACATCAGTTAAGTAAGTAAAGGACCAGTCCATTACTTTCAAATGAATCAATTAAAGAGGCAGTTGAATACAAGCACGTTTAAGCATATATAAAGACTATCCTGTTGAATTCACTCTCCTCATTTCTAATTTTCAAGATGCGATAAGTTTTGTGGTGAAAGTCATTAGTGAACTTCAGACAAACAAAAATGAAAGTTTACGTAGGATTCTTAACTAGGCAAGAATGAAAGTGTCAATCAAACCCACAAACTAACTTATAAACAATTTGTTTAGGTTTAAGAACTATGTAGAACTTGTTAACCGAAGCCATTTAGTCAACTTAGTACCTTCCAGTTGATTACGAGGTCAAATTAATTAGGCCAGACTCGGTTGGAACTAGGGGAGCACAAAAATCTATTGACATTTGGACTAGTGGATTAAAAAAAGAAGAAAAAGTCTGGAGATAAAGCTCAGTTGTAGATCTATATGCGACCACACGGAGCCATACAACAGGATGAAACAGTGACAAGGTGGAGGGCGAAATTGATAACTGAAGTCTTACTGAATTAACTGAGAACGCATACAATAATAATAATTCAACACCTTTCTCGGACATTTGAAAATTATACTTCTCTTATGACAAGTAGGGAGGAGGTATGAGAACTATGCAAATCAAGTTCCGAAGTTGTGTAATTACACTTGATGTGATTATGAACACAATAAACTGTGCTCGAAACTTCGTCATCCATTAAATAATACTATTTCACTCTGTGTTTGATGTATATCCAGTAAACAAATTAATGTGAAAGGACATGAGACACCGTCAACCTTGTCATTACAGTACATGGAATTGGAAGCTAATATGGGGAAAAGACGTGCGTCGGTGGCACAGCGGTAGAATGCTCGCCAACCATGCATGTGGTCCGGGGTTCGATCCTCGGCCACTGACTCATTCCCAAACCTCGCTAAGCCATTAATAAGACTGGTAAAGAGGGAAGGTTGTACATGAGGCTAGCAACTCCATCCCATAAAAATAAACACCACTGCTACAGAAACTGCAAAGCTCTAGCTTGAATTCCTATGTTCCACTGGAAACGTAAAGGAATAAAAAATGGGGAAAATACAGTAGTGAAATGAAAGCTATAAAACAAAGCAACAAATTGGACGGGGTTAAGGGAAATAAAAACTCATGATGTATTGCAATGTAGGCGACAAGGTGTGTAGTGTCTCCAAATGATCAGTCAGATTCAGAAATCCAGCTCTTAAGCATAACGTAGCATATCTATATCAATTGTTTGTTTTCTCATATAGAGTGGAAACCTCTTTTCAAATATAAAAGTGATATTTTACTGTGAACCGTAAAGTCTTGTCATTTTAGGTAGTTGAACTAAATGCTTACTAATGTACATTTTTATACTAAACACAGCCTATCAATTTTATGTTGTTAGAATTTTAGTTTTCAGTCTCTTTTTAATAATATTGTTGATTTCTTCAACAATCACCTAGTTTAATCATATTGGAGAACTGTTTGTACTTCTGAAAGTATTTGTCCTCCTGAAGTAAGACAGTTGTTTATGATGGACAAGTATCCGTAGACGTAGGTGGGTGGATAGGTGTTCTTTGTCATAGCAAAATGTTTCTGATATCTAAAGCGAAATAATTTTCTCCCCGTTATTAAAAAATCTCTACCACTGTAGGACTACAGTTAAAGAAGTTCTTAGGTATCCCATTCATGGCAAACATAAGGAATAGCGACTATGGAGTGCGAACGCACCAATGATCTTGAACGCATGCCATTCGTTGGATTACCGAACCTGCCGTTTATTTACGAGAAAAATTAATATAATAATGGCGAAACCCATCAAAGACGATATTTTTGATTCCTTTACGTTCCCAGTGGTACATAGGGCTTCAAGCTAGAGCTTTGAAGTTTCGGTAGCAATGGGTTTATTTTCACGGGGTGGGGTTGCTAGTCTCACCCCGAACCTTACCTTTTTGCCTGGATTATAACCAGCTTAGTGAGGTTTGGGAGTGCTTCCGTCGGGGATCGAACTCTGGACCACGTGCATGGTTGGCGAGCATTCTACCTCTTAGCCACTGACGCACAAAAGACGGTATTTTACCCTGACGTAATTGAGAAATAGACCCCAGTTACAATGATGGGTATTAGTTTTCAAGTTTCATAACTATCAAAATGGTTTCATCTATATGAACAAGGAAATACTCTCCTCCCATAGATATTCATTTTCAAGAAAAATACATATAGTAATAAAACACCCTAACTCTGACACTTGCCTTAACCTTAATCCTGACCCCAACCCTAATACTAATAGTGACCATAAACTGCTATCAACCTATTGTCCAAACAATACGTCAAAACGAGATCTGAATGAAATTTGCACCTCTGTTCATTCACAGAGATCATACTGGCACTGTATAATAACGGCAAGTTCTGAAATCCAAGGAATGGCGTACGTCCTAGGTCATTGGTGCGTTTGCCCCCTATGGTCTGTATTCTTTGGGTTGGCCCAGTTCACAACTGACTTCCTTTAGAATTAGGCTGTAAATCTTTAATGATGGTCTCAGTTGACTTTTATAATGTTGTATTGTCTACCTTCAATAGTATTTTAAGTTGAATGCTTTACATGGCTGAAAACTGAACTACGAACATAAGAGTAATAGGAATGGAAAGACAGTATGGGATTTTTAAATACTTTTAATTACTGTTTACTTGAACTTATGCGTTTATTAGCGTGAACTATGAGTTTGAAGTAAATGTATCATTATAGGCTAACAAATATACCTTGGGTGGCAAGTTATCTGATTTTTTTCGGCGAATTCATTTTCATAGCTGTACAATCGCAAATATATATGGTTGTTTTGTATGTGTGTGTACATTAAATTTGTCAAATGAAAATACAGTTAGTAAGTTCAGATGAACTGGATGTTGATATGAGAGCGTAGTAACAAAAGTGATGAGTTGTCACAAACGACTGTTAAAGAAGAGTTACGTAATAAAACGAAATTACAATTATTAAGTTCAGGTGAATTAAGTGTTATTACGCAACTCTTCTTTAACAATCGTTTGTGACAACTCATCACTTTTGTTACTATCCTCTTATATCAATACTTAATTCACCTGAACTTAATAATTGTAATTTCGTTTTATTACGTAACTCTTCTTTAACAGTCGTTTGTGACAACTCATCACTTTTGTTACTACTCCCTTATCTGATTTTGTTTAATGCGAGTATTGTTCATAATGCATTGATTGTCTTCCCATTTTTCGGGTAGGAGACAACATGCTATTTCTCTTAGGAGGCGCTCCACATCTTTGCTTACTGTAGACCGTGTGTCCCAAGGCGACGTACTTTCTCCATTTCTGCTTTCTATCTTTTTACATGACTTATTGTACTCTTTTAAAGACAATTTCATTAAATGTGTCAGTGATGCGACAATTTCTGTCCCAGCTCTTTCTGCATTAGAGTATTCTGATGTGAATAGCTTCCTTCCTAAGACTGCACTGAACCCCTGTAAATGCCAGACTGCTAATTTCAGTTTCAAACGTGAAGGAGACTTTCGTGGACAAGATTCATTTATGTGAATCTCGTAATATCGATGACACTGTTGTAGGAAATGTGTCGAATATTACCTTTCTTGGTATCAGTTTCCCTGCCAGTCTTTGTTGGTCATCTCATATCCTGTTGACTTCTAAGAAAATTTTTCATTCAACTTATCGTTTGAGGAAGTTGGGACCTCTTCTCTTACAATCTAATAAATGGTATGTTCTACCAAATATTCTTTATTGCTCCCTCGTATTCTTCTCTTGGCTTCTCAAAAAGGACTATGTTATATTACTTAAGAGTTTGAAGGTTTCATAGGTCACTGGAACCTGTTCCAATAGTTAAGTGAAGGTTATCTGTTTAAGACCGTGGAGATATTGTTAACCAGTAGTTGCGCGTTCATTGATGTAGCTCAAAATTGAATGCAGTCGCATATACATACTAATCTGCTCAATATCATTTCCGAAAAAACTAATTTTAGTGCCTTTACGAGATGGGATCGCTAACCTCACCCCCAACTTCCCTCTTTACTCGGCTCACTACTGTCTAAACAAGTTTTAAGAGTGCATCAGTGAGGAATCGAACTCTGTACCACGTGCTTGGGTGACTTCTTTTCTACCAATGAGTCACCGACGCACACTTTTAGTTAGTTATGTCACTCAACAGCCATTTGCAATTCTATGCAGGTAGAAATGAACCACACTTATCTTGTGAACACCCAGACCTCGTTAGGTGAGGTGGGGTTCGATTCTGTGACTCATTGGTTGGATGTTGAATGTCTACATGAATAAGTCGCAGCACGACACATCTTCATATTTTAAAAAACAAAACCGCAATAACTTTGAACAGTTTATTTCATGGAGTTTGAATTTTCTATATTATTTTATTTCTTTTAGCTAAACCATTAGTGAGAAAAACATTGGAACAGCCAAGGCCACTGGTTAGTGAATTAAAACAAAACTTTAATCATAAACCTGAAGATGAAGCCTAGTAAGTTATGTACACTTTGCACAAATTTGATAGAAATAAGTTTTATGGATGTTATGCAGTGTCATTGATTTCTGTCATTAGATTCTATTCTCAGATATTATAATTTACTATGTGCATGTTTATTTGGACACTTTTGTGTAGTTATTATTATTATTATCATCACCATTCCTTTAGGTTCCGAGTGGAACATAAGGCTTCAGCAGCACATCTTCGTTTTTTCCTGTTCTCCACAGTCCTCTATAGCCGGCTCTACGACTGCCCATAAATTCTTTTCTTCCTTTCATACAGTCTCCTCCATATCACCTTTGTGTTAGATATCACATATCTTGACGTTACAGTTACGAAGGGAAAAAATACTCAGCTTCTACTGTCAGCTGTACAGTTTATCAACAAACCGTATTTCAATTATTTCGTCACTTCTAAAACTAAAAGGATATTTGTTTTCATTCAGTCGTGGACTTGGTGTTTGTGGCTTAGCTGTAGAATGCTTGCCAACCACACATGTGACCCGCGGTTCGATCCCCGGTCACCGACGCACTCCCAAACCTCGCTAAGCCAGTAATAAGGCTGGTAAAGAGGGGAGGTTGGGCATGTGGCTAGCAACCCCATCCCGTAAAACTAAACATCACTGCTACCGAAACTTCAAAGCTGTAGCTTGAAGCCCCATGTTCCAATGGGAACGTGAAGGAAAAAAATTTGTACTCGTTTCTAAACGCATCTTACCGGTCAGCATAGCTCAATAAATGTAAAATTTGTTTTCCTATGCTTCTGTTTACCAGTTGTATCAAGGGGTTTAGATATATATATGAAGAAATAAAACCTTCACTGTTATGTACAATTAGTGTACATGATAACGAGTATAAATAAGCACAAAATGTTAGATGGTTGAAGACAATCAACCAGAAGCCCCAAACCTAGATTTCACGCTTATTGTCATTTTTCAGCAAGGTGTATCTTCACTCCTCTTGGAGATTAAGACTCGCATCACCCAGTGTTTTAGAGTCAACGACGGTATCCGAGTATCTTGGCGGTGTAACGTCTCTAATTGAAGCACTGTGTAACACCGGTTTGAATTTTATGGAATATGTCATTATGCTTTCACGTTGTAGATACGCCTTTCTGATGAATGGTAATAAGCACGAAATTGAGATCTAGGACTTCCTGCTAATTATCTCTAACCGTTTATAACTAGTTTAAAACGTTCACTTGTTTGGCGAGTCTCTTAGATTGACCACACTGCCACCTGACTGATAGGAATTCTGTCAGCTCTACTGGCCTACACTCCAGTGACCAGCTAATATACTCAGATATGGATTCTTAGTAATCGTTTGACAAGAAGTAACTATATTATGTATTCAAGTACTAGTTTGTAGGGTTTGATTCGTTACAGGATTCCATCATGAGATGCTCACTAGCGACTAGCCTTATTCAGGTAGGTAGTTACCTGGGATTCTAGTAGGAAGTCGTGACCAGTAGGGTACAGCACGCCGGGGGTGAGGACAAATACTGACCAAAGACATTGGTTAGTAGTCACGCTATGTCATGAATTGACAGAAGTTGGAATTCGTGAGCCCATTGGATCTAGTCCCAGTGGCTTAATGGTCTACGAGGTCGTTCGCCTTGTAACCGGAAGGCCCTGGGTGCATGTTGATGAAGAGTCCCAAACTTGGACGAAACGGCCGTCCAGTATTCCCTGCAGGTTTTCCAGTGGTTCTCTAACTGATGTCAGCTCATGATGAAATCCTACGTTATGTTTGTTTTACACATCTGTTTTAGTATTCCTACTGAATTTGGTTGTTTTCTTTTAGGAAATAAATAATAATTCACTTTTTTTTAAATTAATCCTTTCTTCTTCTGTTACCCATCATCTTTTTTTCACAGTAGTTCTGCTGAGTCAACTGAAAGTGGTAAATTAACTAATGTTTATCGAACAATAGACAGTAAACAGAATGAATTTCCAACTCCAGGCATAACACGTAATTTAGTCGCAAAATTTTCTGCTCTATCAGCTGCATCATGAAATGTTCCCACTTGGCATACTTCTAAAATACTATTATTATTATTACTACTACTACTAATAATAATAATGGTAGTAATAATGTTAGTAAGAATAACAATATTGTTAACCAGATTATGGAATTCAAACAAAAGAACGCTTATTATTAAGTCAAAGTGAAGTATATCAATGTCCGTAAAACAGTCGTGTTCATTTATGTGTTTTCGTGTGTGTTTGCTCTTATTATCCCATCTTAATGTTGTTGCTTTATGCTTACTATGTTATAATCATTATTCAAGCAAAAGAAAAGGCGAGATTTACTTGATTTATACTTATTGCTTACTTTGCTTTTTGCTGAATATTATTCATTCGTGCATTCATTGATTCATTCATTCGTTCATTCATTACTTTTAATTACAAGCTGCCTATTATTGTACTGCTGTATTCAATTCTAGTTGTGTTTCCCTATTATACCCATTTTCTTATGAAGAGAAGATGCGTGGGTGGGTGAATAAAGGGAACACAGATATCTATGTATGTGTGTGTACTATTTCCTTTTGCTAAGCATATTTCTCAAGAATATTCAACTGAAAATTGTTCATCTCTGAGTTTAAACCATAGCTATATATATCATTTATTGGTATCAAAAGTCGGTTTACGCATGATAGTTTCTTCTATTATACATTGTTAACATTTTGGTGTTGTCATTGGTGACGTTTCGTTGTCTTTTCTTTGGTCTTTCCTTTATGAATATTCACTAATTAATAAGACATTCCTTCATTGAATAATACAGGTTCGATTCATTTTTATAGTCTTAGGATGATGGAAATAATACAAATTTATGTGATTTTAGGTGGTGTAATTCTTTTTATTGTTGTTGTTTATATGTAGAATATATATATTTATATATAAAGAATGTGTTTTAATGCCTTTTGCTTATTATCATCATTGGACCAAGTGGTGGTGGAATGAGAGTGGGGCACTCCTGCTTATCCGTCTACGGAAGTCAAATGAAGATAAAGTCAATTTACTTGGAGATATATAAGGTTATATATTATGGCTGAAGATATAAGCATGTTAAGCGTCGGTTAACTGAAAACATTTTTGGGACATAAATCGATTGGAGGTTTGCGGCAGCTAACATGGATATCCGAATCAATCCTTACTTTCTACAGTCACAGCCTTATTTACTGAGGTTAGTAATGCTCTTTCGTGGATACATTTCTATTATCATTCCCATGGGTTCCGAGTGGAAAATAAAGCTTCAACAGAATATCTCCATTTTGTCCTGTTCTCTGCAGTCTTTTTCATATGGCCCCACTATCTCCTATAAGCTTTTATCTCCTCCATAATACCCGCGAACACCTAACTCGTCGTTTCCCACTAGAGGACTAGTCTGGTGAGCTATGTCACCTAACGGTCTCCTCAGGGTGTGTCAGATCCATATCCATTTCCTTTGGTATATATGCGGATAAGGTTCACTTTAAATGTCATTTTATTTGTGTACGGATATTAAACTATTGAGTGAGCTGTTAGCGTAGTGACAGCTACTCTTATAGAGTCGTTCTTTCTTGATATTTCATCAATATGGTCGGATTATTATGCTAGACTGAAAGTTGGTCCATTTTGTTTGCTTCATGATATTATATGAATTAGTTAAACAGGTGTATTATGTGTGAAGTGTAAGATGAAAAGTAGGCGAGATGGAGAAAACTTGATTAAAAGTAAATGAAAAAAGTAAAGTAAATAATCATTTCACCAAGTATCCAACACGCTGACATCCCTGGAACATCACAACCTTCTAACGGTTTGTGGGGGTATGTCTTTCCCCGAATCTATTTGTTATCCTCTTTTGGGCTTCTAACGGTTTTCTGGTTTAAACTGAAAAGAAGTATATTGGACGTTGCAGAATATGTACTTGCTTTATCATTATTAATGTATCTTATGTACTGATCGGCATCCCTCATTCTCTAAAGATTTTACATGCCTCTTCCAATGACCAGTTGAAAAGGCGACCAGGACCCATTTACTCACTTCACACAGCTGCTAAGACTGTTGCAGAAGTCGTCATCCAACACTGAATCTCCCCTTCAGCATAGAATATTACCGCCACAGATGGAGATTCCCTAGAGAATGAGGGCATAAATGACCAAGAACTGACCAATAAGAGGAAAACAGGCCAGTTTAAGTGAAAATGTGTGTGTAACTACGAAAGAGGGGCTAACTAGGGGTGAAAAATGCTGAACATGCTGCACTTAATTTCCAGTTTCTCACAGAAGTGTAGATTTCCATCCAAATAACTATCGTCCACTGTCAGGCTACACATCTAGGATTAGGTTTAGGATTTTGGGCTGAAAACAGGAGTTAAGCTTAAGGCCAGCAGTTTCGTAATTTAAGCCTACTGCGTAAATTCTGAACAACATTCTTTGTGAGAACAGAATTCCAGATGTGTTAGAACTTAATTATTGCACACGGTAGTCGCTTTATTGTCAGTCATGTAGTACTTAGCTTGGATAACTATCCTTTAACTTCTCTGTGTTCGTTCCGAAAGTCATTAACAATAGTAAGTGATAGATTGAGTCACAAAATCGGCTCCACTTTCCACCACTGTAATACTTTCACTCAGTAGTTAAGTATTTGTGGCGAAGTTGAAAAATAGCAATCCAAGCAAATGATCGCGAAATGACTGTGAGCCGGCCAACCACAGTAGACCGGACCAATTCATGTCTCACTTCTGTACGACGTACAGAAATGCAGCTATGTATTTACTATCTCCTGTCTACGGCATTTTGTGCTTTATCAATATATTACAAGGGTTAATCAAAAGGAACCTATGAAATTGTGGAATAATGTCAGTGGCAAATTTGAATTTAACAGAGCACAAACAAATCATTTGTGTTGAGCCACTGAACGAATGAGAAGACACTTGAAAGTAAATGTTTAATGGAAATCAGTTGCAACAGCAAATATTCAGTAAGATATCACAAAACTGGTCTCAGTGGAAGTTATGAGGAACTGCATGTGCAACAGACAACTGGACTTAGTGAACTGGATGTACTCCATGGCCAAAGTAATTAGTAGCTTGCCTAACTTGTAAGTGCGGCTAGTGAACCCTAATTTCAAAAGGTGGATTTATTTGGAAATATGTTGGAAACAGAGTTTTATTTGAACTGAAAAGATGTTTTACTTATCTGGCCGTTTGACTGATCTAGGGACTCTGAGATTTTTCGTGTCACCTAACATATCTAAAGTCTGAAATGTGATCAAGACTTCCTCAAACTAGTGCATGCTAAACCAAAACTCGCAACACTCTGGGCATCCAAACGTGGAGCAGAAGTTTATTTAGTCGACATTAGGTTATTTTAATTCAATCTATTGATTTTATCACTAGTCTTTCGGTACCAAAAATATGCAGTATAGAGCGTCCCAGTCATATTCTTTCAGTATGTGCACGGTTAGGCCTTCCTCCAAGCTGACACATAGATATTGTGAAATTCTGAGCGTAGCTACTCATGTCCGAAACGCTTAAGTATCATCATAAGCAAGTAATTTGTCTGATGTATGACATGTGCTTCGGAAATGCGGCGTATATTGACCTCGAGGGTTTAGCGAGTACTTACAAGGACGAGCAGTGGAGAATCTGACCACATTTCGTTGTCGATAACTTTTAAGGAAGCTTTAAATTGATAACGGAAATGTTTCACGAACCATTATAGTATGGGTGATATTCAGCGGCACAAGGATTTCTGCCACGTTAAAGATCCCAAAGCTTCTTAAAGATGGCTTATTAAAATTATTTACATAAATCCGTTGTTAGTGTGAAAGGGTGTCTCATCTTACCATCAAGAATCAGCAAACAATTCTTCATGGGCCGACAGTATTAGATAGACATGAACAAAGTATGCATTAGCTGCGGTGAGAGATGCAAGTGGTGTAGACACATTTCACACGAGTAGTTTTTTACATTACCATTAATTCTTGGCTAGACAAACCTATCTGTTATTGGTCTGTTTGCAGTATGCATACCAGGATGAGGAGCACTGTGCAGGGCCTCGAAGGCTATCCAACATAAAAAGTCTTGTAGTACAAGTGAACATATCACGCAATATGATGCCCTCACCGTTCGTTCGTCAGCCGTACACCCTGCATCTTGAACGGTGTGCAGTCCTGTAGCTTTTTTTCACACCTAAATGTGGATTCTGAAGTTCAGCTATTTTCCGCAATTCAGTAGCCGTGGCACAATGTGGGCGGTGCTACTGACACAATTCTGTAGACAGTAAATTGTATGTGGTGTTTTCCGCAAGAAAAAGGGAAAATGGAGGGATGGATTTAATGACGTACAGAAGAAGTGAAAGATCCTTGCGAAACAGTGTAGAAAACATGAACGGAAGACAAAATAGCACAATATAGAGAACATCTGAAAATGGTGATTTTAGTGTTGTTTTTTTTCATTCCTTTACTTTCCCAGAGGAAAATAGGGCTTCATGCTAGAGGCTTGAAGTTTCGGTAGCAGTGGTGTTTAGTTTTACGGGATGGGGTTGCTAGCCTTGTGCCTAACCTTCCCTCTTAACCAGTCTCATTACTAGCTTAGCGAGGTTTGGGAGTGCTTCGGTCGAGGATCGAATCCCGGAACACATGAGTGGTCGCCGAGCACTCTACTGACTAACAATTTTAGTGTAAGATATAGTTTTTTCGCCATATCTTTGCATCTGTTGATCGATAAACAATTCATCTATCAAATACCATTGTGTCCTGCTGCTACAACTGTACTGATACAAATGGATAAAAAAGTGCCCACCATGTAGTTATTTACACAGCGGACCTTATGGATGTTAGGCGTGAGTTGTGAAATATGGTCCAGATTACACTGTTCCCATAAGGATTATCTGTCTGTATTATTGCTGCATACAGTTAGGGTTTGTGGTCGGTAAACTCGGCGAACAGCGAACCTTCAATAAGAAAGGGAAAGTGTTTGATGGAAGTGTAGATGGCTAGCATTTTGCAAGCAGATGTGTTGTATTGTATATCACTTAACAATGTCTCATCTTATTCATTTCTAATAACGTCTTCACTTGCTCATTATATTCCACTAAACCTAACATTTTATAGCCCTTTATGAATTTGATTCAACTTATTTTATTCCTATTCTCTGTAGGGTACGGTTGTGCACCAAATACACAAAAAGGTATGAAATTAAAACAACTGGCTTGTGGATAATTGTATTAAACCAAAAGTGGACATCATGATAGTAAGACCTATATGGGTAGCATTATACATTGCAAATGAACTTTGTCAGCTTAGGGATTATAGTCTTCCATTGTATTTCCTTTATGAATGCATCTGTTAATGATACATTGCATTTACCTATTTCATTACGCTTTAATGATTCACCTTAGCACCTTTACTTTTCTAGAACAGCTTACCATCCCTTGTAAACGTTGTACTTACGTCAATATTGGTTGGTTATCGTATGCCTACGAACACGGGTTGAAAACGAAACGAAGTCGATTTTCCTGCGCAACCTGGAGGACTGCTGTTTAATTCAATAATGATACGACATGAGTCAGACAAAGAGTGTATTTATATATATATCAAATATTTAGCTGTTCAAACATTGACTTGTAGACAATCTACTATTTGACATTATATCATACTTGATGGTGCCTGTAAAAATGGCATGCATTTTCATGTAAATTTATGTTTATATGAAAATATAAATTGTTATTGTTTCAAATGCATGCCTTTACTTTGGAAAATAAAGCAAGATTTATCCAAGTACCGTCCATTAGCCGTCGTAGTATAACCCTAGTAGTCGTTAGGCACATCAACTAATGTGTCAGGAGGAAGTTTCACGTCTCCTTATGACCATCTTGATTTTCTCAAGTGCTTCCATGGCGTCAGGGGTAATGTTTGCCGCTTTGCAGTTAAGATAAGACGCGAAGAATAACTTATCTTGCCTAGAAATCTAGGCAAAGTTTAAAGGAGGGTTTGCATTAAAAAACTTTGGATTGCTTGTACATTTCGAGTTACTGGGTGGATGCAATGTTTTTCGACTACATGTTCTAGAAAAAACTCAATGAACGAAAGCCAAAATGGTTCTTGGTTGGATTGGCCGTCACGGAATACTTTTTCATTTTACTAAAAATATGGAGGAATTAGTTATGGTGAGTGTCTCAATTGTCTATTAGTGTCACCCAGAACCATCTGTTCATAGTCAAGTCCACATAAGATACCATATAGGGAGTGCTAGAAGATTAGCACAGTTTGGTTAGACTAATGGGAGTGAAAAGAAACACTGAAGGCCCCAGGGACAAAGTGGCTGGTGTCCTTGGTTGATAATGAGGATGAGCTGGTATTTGATGACAAGCACGATTTGATTTAAGTTTGTTGAAGATAGATGTAATTTTCAAAGTAACAATTCGGTCGTGCATCTACAGGACTGGACAGCTGTTTTGAATCATTTTAGTTTTGGACCTATTGTAGCAATCACAAGCTCTTTAGACCTTGCCATCGTTTTGATGTACCACATCCAAGGGTGAAGATAATGAACTATTGTATGGTTTGATCACTCCCATTTTACGTTCGTGTTCTAACCCAGTTTTGAGGGCATAGTGTCTTATCGGCGAATGGATGCACTGTGTGGTAGGAGCGGAAGGATCACCTATCACTACACTTGGCTCGAAGTTAGAAATTTCATGAAAAACTTCAAAAATACAAACGTAACAAGTTATATGGTCTTTGGAGAGGTTTCAGCTACCAGATGAAGTTTCCCACGGTAAAGAAAGGCGGAATTAGGTTTACAGATTCAAGAAACAATTGGATGAAATCTTTGAATGTTTTAGCCAAGCATTTGACAAAGTAAATCCTGCCAAGTTTCTTTATGCATCTATAGAACTTAGGAATCTGTAGTCTGAGAGATGACTGGGATGGCTACTGTATGTGGAGACAAAATGGTAGTAATGTTGGTACGAAAAAGCTCTCTACTCACTACTGTTCCTTGCTTTAGATATTAACAAATGAACATGCTATAATTTTTAATAAGTTAAACATAATTACAGTGATTCTAAGCATTTTTCTTCAAGCATAAACCATATATGAGTCTAAATATCCCTATCTATTGGTAATATAAAATGGGAAACAATCACCTTAAGACAAAGAATCGAGCGCAAAGAGATTATTTTGTCAAGATATTGGATATTGAATTTTGATTACTAGCGATAGTTCAAAGTAAACGTTACTGTTGTGCCACGACAGGTATGGCGTTTGATTTTACTAGAGTTGTTCACTTGATGTCTTGGATGTATTTAGTTAGACAGTGTAAAAATAGTAATTGTGTAGCATTTAGATAAATTACCAATGGAACTATACAGTGTTCATAATATGCCGTAATCAAGAATTCTGGTCTTTTATATAAATCCCTGAAATTATTAAATTAAGTTGCGGCAAGAGTAAACAATAGACACCAAAATCAAATGACCTTGACTCGGCTAATCAGATAGCTCAGCATTACAAATGAGTGCTAGTCATAATCCTCGTAGAAAATGTCTCCTAGACTTGGTTTTTGACTTCTCTGTGGAAAATGTGTTGATAGGAAGGAATAAAACATGCATATGTGGAGGGGTCGTGACTCCGCAGAAGTACTTCCGGGTGATTTATGGTTATATATTCATATGCAACCACTTTGTATGAGGAAGTCTCTATAGGTTGGTATGTCATACTTAATTGGTGATTCTTTTAGGCACTTTCTTCTCGAAATCAAAGCTCTCCTTTAGTAATATATTGTGCATATGCAACCAGTATCTGCTACAACTGGAGAAATATGGAATACAGTGGTTTGATATGTCTATAACCACTTCTATGAGAATCTGGGACCAGTTTTTGCAGTATATTAGGGATATATACCCTATATGAATCTTTATTTTATATATATATATATATATATATATATATATATACTTCTTTGTAAGCTAAGTACCACTTTTCACCTAAAAGAATCTGATTGGCTGTTTCAGGTCGTCTGAAGTTGGTGTCTATTCTCTACTGTTGCCTAAGTCGCCTCAAGATTTGTATACGGGTAGTAAGTATAGTGTTATTTACATGGATTGACTGCCTTGTTCTGAGTAAGCGTCTCATTTGTGCGTTCGATCTTATGGGGCATCTCTTCATTAACTTCGTGTGCTGTGACTCACAATCCTTTCAATGAGTTCTTTTCTTATGGTTGTGTTGCATTATCCCAAGACGAATGCGTTATTTACTTTTTGATGTTCACGGTTATGTTTCACTTAGGTACATTACAATAGTGTCCATAACACTGCATAGTTGAAACCAAGGTGTTTTCTTGTCGAACTGTTCCCTTGGCCTTACCTTTTACTGCTTAATCACTAACTACTAATAACGTAAACATGTTCTCCGGTAAGTCTAAACATAATGAAGAGAAAGTGAAGGACGTAATGGCATTGTGAACAAATATGAAGCTATATTGATAAGACGGAAATATAACCACAGATATCCAAGTGTAAAGTTTGGCTTCTCGGATGATATGATACAGCCTTACGGTTAGGATTCATCAAAAGGATACTTAGTCGCAGCTCACAAAATCTAATAGCTGTTTTGTCGTTTGAACTTATTTACCAGGAGCAAGCTCCCACTTATGAAGCTGTATGACACATTAAGTGTATGGGCTGATGATACTACTTAGCTTCCCAAGTTGAGGTCAGTGGAGTGGGGTTCCGACCTGGGACTCACTTGTTGAAAGCCAGGTGCTTAAGCTAATAGGCCATCTTCACGTAGTGTACGGCACTTGGTAAAATTACCGCTATGGACACGTGACCACACAAGAGTAGCTTGAGAGGGAAACTGAAGTCTACCCACACGCCACTGTACCATGCGATTTATGGGAAGAGCAGGCTGGCTACGCCTGATGTCCATTCTACCATAAGGCCTCGGACATTAAGGGGCGAGATATGAGGTTCGTGGCCTTATTTTAAGAGACAAGAAACTGTTTCTTTAGCTCAAGTACTTATGCTAGCAGGTTGACGATTGGATAACGACAGTCGTCTCACACCAACATCAAGCTGATGACGTTCACAAATAGACCACTTAGTAAATTTGAAGCGAACCTTTATGGTTGTTAATGCTTACTATGATGCAAAAGTGATATATCCATTGTGATCATGGCAAGATATTATAATTTAACCGTTTCATAAGACTGAGACAATCTGTTATTCTAAACATTCAGGTGCTATGATGACCGACATCTCACTTAGCCCCTCATCCAATCACACTTACCTTGAATTATTATTGACCCCTTGGGTTCTAAGTGGGCTTCAGCAGTACACCTGTATTTCACCCTGTTCTCTTCACTGCCTTTTAGTTGGCTGAATAGTAGCCCATAAGCTCTGATTTCCTCGTCCTTGTCACCCTTGGACACCTAACTCATCCTTCTCCTTTCGGGTTCCACTCAAGGGTATGAAGCATGATGTCACTGAGCAACGTCTTCATTTTATGTCCAATCCATTTTCATTTCCTTCAGCATCTTTTTCGATCGACAGGTTGTTAGTTGGTTTATTGCCAGAGTCCTTTGTTGCTTAATCTTCATTACCGGTCATCTGATCTTCACTATGGGACGAATAGGGCAGGTGTTGATGAAAGTATGCAGTAACCTGTTGGAACCATACAGAAGCACTGATTTGACATAGTTGTTGAAGATCCGGATCCTGTTTCCCTTACCTTAAATAATTATCCTGAAATATTACATTTAGGTTACAAACAATTGCTTCAGCTTCAAAACTGCAAACCTTACGTTAGTGGTCCATTTAGGCTCTAACGTAATAGCAAGGAAGGAGAGTACCCAAAAGTTAATTGAACTGTTCCTTAGAGTATGTTGCTTATGCTTATGGTCATCTTTTGTGTGGATAAGCCGTTGTGTCATGTCTCTAATTTGTGATTTCATCAAGTACTGACTTCCTACATTAATGTTGTGTAATATGTAGACAGACTGTGCTATCATCTGCCTTGTGTCTCATTGCTCACACACCGGGTAGTCCACGTGTACCTTTGTTTTATTGCACTGTTCCACGAATCTATTGGGATTCATTCTCTAACTTTTTTAAATCTATGTAGAGTTTGTATTACCGTGTTTACAGCAAGCTGTGTACGGCACCAGTGCATTCGGTGTGTGTCTTGTGTAGTGTTAAACCAGTTTCTGTTTGATATTCCTACTTTTCGATTGAGATTAGGAAGATCTTGAAATGGTTTCAGCTAAATGAGCTCTAGTCTACAACAATTAATAACAGTACTCTTAAGGTCACTTAAGGACTTCTAAGTTAGGCAATACCTCTTTGTTCTTGCCACTTAGTGATAATCAGTTACCTGAGTCTACCTGTAATATACGTATTAGCCTTTGTTATACAAAAAAGCGCATTCTGCAATTAGTGATCAATCTCACTTTATCGGCTCGATTTAGAAGTTTTTTTTCTTTCTTAAAAACTTGGATGCAGCTGACAATTTTTAAAAAATTATAGCTATTCAGACACCCAGCCAATCGATTTTCTAAGACTTATTTTCGATTATATGCTTTTAAATTTGACAATATATTCCAGTAAAATTCATGTCATACACAAATAACTGGAATGAAAAAGCCTCTTTACAGATACAGAATAAAACTTTGAAAACTGTTTCAGCGATACAAAAATTCGTCCAAAACATTCTAAATTCCTCACAGTCTGCTGAACTTCTTTCTTCGGCTATCAATCAAACCGTAGAACAAGATCCTGTTATTTCATCCACGTCAAATAAGATTAGTCAGCTTACCTATACAATCGACCGTTTATCTGATCAAGAAAGTCTGCTTCGAACGCGTTTGGATTTACTGCAATAATTACTCTTTTCACAGCTATAACTAACAACATGCCTGTTGCTACTTTACCGAACATCCTTATTACAGGCACACCAGGAACAGGAAAATCCACCATTTCTAAGGAAGTAGCTGAACGTACTTCATTAAATTATGTCAGTGTTAATGATGTTGCCAAGGAAGGCGAATTATACGATGGATATGATGCAGATAATCAGTGTCATATTTTGGACGAGGATAGAGTTGTAGATGAGTTAGAAGACTCAATGTCCTCAGGTGGTCAGGTATGTTTGTATATATATATTAATCGTATTCCTAATATTATCCTTATAGATTGTTGATTATCATTCTTGTGACTTTTTCCCCGAACGCTGGTTCGATGCCGTATTCGTGTTGAGAACGGATAATGAAATCCTCTACCCTCGTCTTACTTCACGTGGCTATTCAAAGGATAAAGTGGCAGATCTCATTCATTGTGAAATCGTTCAGGTTAGTTTCTTTTTTGCTCCCAACTTAATTTACTATTCTTATTAGTACATGTATTATATGTTATAGTGTGGTCGTATAGATTAATGAGCAGCTAAAAAAGTGATTAAACATAATATTTTCAAGTATTGGTTTTGTATGGATTTTGTTTGATTGCATGGAGGATTTCATCATGAGCTGACATCAGTTAGAGAACCACTGGAAAACCTGGTAGTACTAGACAGTTGTTTCGTTCTGGTTTCGGACTCTTCATCAGTACGCACCCACCTTCAGGGTTCGAACCCAGGACCTTCTGGTTACAAGGCGAGCTCGTAGACCATTGAGCCACTGGGACCCGATCCAATGGTCCTTGAATTCTAACTTCTGCCAATTCACGACATAGCGCGACCACTTCGCAATGACTGACCCTATTCAGGCAGTTAACCTGGGGTAGTTCTAGTGGGAAGCCGTGACCAGAAAGATACAGCAGGTTGCAAATGAGGCAGTAACTCATCGAAGAAGACATTGCGAAATGGTCGCGCTATGTCGTGAATTGGCAGAAGTTAGAATTCAAGGACCATTGGATCGGGTCCCAGTGGCTCAATGGTCGACGAGCTCGCCTTGTAACCAGAAGGTCCTGGGTTCGAATCCCGGTGGGTGCGTACTGATGAAGAGTCCCAAACTAGAACGAAACAGCTGTCCAGTACTCCCAGGTTTTCCAGTGGTTCTCTAACTGATGTCAGCTCATGCAATTAAACATAACATTGTTATCATAATGCAAATGTGACAGTATTAGGTTTAAAAATTCCTCATCAGTCCTATGCAAGAATGTTGTCTATGCTACACGGTAGGTAAGTGATGTGTGGAGATTATCCAGTCTCTCAGGATGGAGCAGGTTTGTGCACATAGCCGAATAGTTTATAGGCGAACATAGAGAGAGAATCGGTTTCTTTCAACTGTATTATTTGAATATTTGGGTTGATTGGTGAAGGGGGAGGGATTTTCTTAATTAAATTGTTCTGTTCTTTGTTATTGTAAAATTACCGTATTTCCCGACGAATAGAAACACAAAACGATATCGTCTTTACTTATGTTTCGCTGTTTAGTGCTAACAGCTTCATCGAATTATTAAACCAAAATTTATAAAATCTTAACTTATGTGCAGTAATTTATTCGTAGCCCTTTCAAGTGTGGTAATTTTTACGTTGTCAGGTGGGAGAATTAGTAAAGATAACAAAATAATAGTAAATAATAAGTAAACGGTAGTTTTATTCTGGACATAGTGTGCATAGTGTACAGAATTCTCAGCGTAGTGTATTGCACAAAATTCTCCCCTCATCCAGGATCTTCAAGTAAAATAGCAGTCACGTGACGCAATGCTGTTAGACTAACCTCTTATGACATTTTTCCTTCGTCCATACGAAATGCATACGGGTAGTTTGAAAGCCAATTGATTATATGCGTAAGTACATTTGTGCGTCGGTGGCACAGCGGTTAGGACTCTCGCGGACTGTGCATATGGTCGGCGGTTCGACCCCCGACCGATGCACATCTGATATCAATAGTCGGCCTGCTAAATTTGGGCTACCGATATCGCATGCTGAAAATTCAATAGTTGTACCAAAAATACTGTGTGGAATCAAGCTATAATTTAAAAAAGTAGTTAGAAGAACAGGAATTAGAGAAAATAAGACGCATTTTGTTGGGTGGAAATTCAGGCATCCCAGTGATTCAAACAGGTCGTCATGATATAATAAAGATAACCAACCATGTACAGACTGCTGGATTTGGTAAATATATGAAACTATAAAAACAGCACATTTGTGTTGGCTTTGTCGCTTTATGAGACGAAGTTGGTGTTGGAACCAAATCGAATTCTGTCTTAGTCTGTTACTGCTATTCAAACAGTTTAGATTCGATTTATTCATAAAGGCCTTTTGATATCGGGCGTTCTCTGAAATTTCTCAATACGATTTCAATATTCTATAGCGTGGCCTATGGTTGGTGATTTTTCAAGCCTTTCTAGTTTCACTGCATTTCTCGACAGTCAAATACAGGCTGCTATGCGCTGTTCATTTCTTCTGGTTTTGATTTTTCACGAAGTTCGTGCTATGTAAATCGCATCACATTTTTTTAGGCACTTTATTTTATGGCTACAGTCAGATTGCGAATCCTTTGGAGTTCGGTCTTTCATTGGTTTTTAGTATGTCTGGTGTTTTGAAGAGAACTCTGATGTTGTGTTTATTGAGTACTCTTCTGATATCCTCTGACACACATATCTGATCTATGTTGATCTATGGCAACTGTTTAGGAGGTTCATGTTTTCGGCATACGTTTTCGATCATATTTAATGCTGGCGTTGATTTTGTTAACGAAGCTATCTAGATAGTTATCTCTTTTTGAACCGTATTAGAAGTGAATATTTTTTTGTTATGTATACCACTCCTAAACAGCTACACATTAAGATGAAGATACAACACCGCAGTTCGTTTTATCACATCCCTAACTATAGATGTTGTAAGCTCGAAGAACTCTGATGTGTTTGTGACACTATTGATCATTATCATTATTCCTTAAGGTTCCCAGTGGAATATGGGGGTGGGCTTCAGCAGTACGTTGCGACACACACAGTTGGTAGTATAGTGTGATGCCACCACTTATGTATCTTGCACTACATTGAGATCCAAATATTGACGCCCAGTTAGACACAGATGCTATGACTATGGATTTCTTTTTATTATAGCTTGATTCCACACCGTATTTTTGGTATAAGTATGGAATTTTCAACATGTGATATCAGTAGCCCAAATTTTGCAGATCGACCATTGATATCAGGTGTGTGTCGGCCGGGGATCGAACCCCGGACCATGTACATGGTCGGTGACAGGCCTAACTACTGTGTACCACTTAACTAAGCCAACAGCTATGTGTTTCCTTCAATCCTCTCTACTTAAGCGAGAACACAATGACGTGGGCGTAAAAGTTTATTTCAGTATCAGCTACAATATATTTTTGATTGGACACTAGTTACTGACTAGTGTCTCTGACTGCAGCACTAGGTGACGCGGGTTCGAGTCTCACAAGGGACATGCGTTCCTTCAGCGTTGCAGATACGCCTTGCTGACAAGTGCCAGCTAGCACAAAACCTAGGGGCAAGGCTTCCTACCGATTGCCTCCAACCATCTAATACCACGATATGTTTTACACAATAATGTATTATTCAAAATATTACCGAGGATATGTCAATTAGTTTCTAATCATGATCAATAAAATAGTGGGGGTTGTTTTATGTAGGTCAATTCTGATTGGTTTATTCCAATTGTTTATCTGTCTACATATCATATAGTGGTAACCAGTTAGTCATTTCCCACTTACGATTTCCTAAAATTATCTTTCTTCTTACTGTTTTATAATTTTTCAGGTGGTTTTAGACGAGGCACGTGAATCGTATAATACAGGGATTGTCTATGAATTAGTCAATAATACTCCTGAGGATTTAGAACGAAATATAACACAAATTTGTCAATGGATTCAACAATGGTCTAGAAGATCGGCTTGAGGCGTCCTGTCTATAGTTTTTCTTTTGTTTGTACATTTTTTTTTTGCTTCTTCAAGGAATCTACACAGACAGGCTCTTATTTGAGTTCGTGTTTATACATGCATCTACACCAGACATCGTTTTCTCATATATTTTTTGTTCTCATTTGAAATAAAAAAAATGGTTTGTAATTAAGGTAGTATTTGTTTTCTCAGCTGTTAATTTTGAACAGAACTGTACTACTGACTGACTGATATAAGTAGTGTTGTATACCACTCACATCAGTCAACCGGTAGTGCTTGCTAGTTAAGTCGGAATTATCTAAACGCTGGACGGTCGTTCGGCTCGTAGCGGGGGGGGGGGGACAATTTCACTAGAGATATGCCCGGTTTGACTCATCTCAGAGAACCGAATCATTTCAAATCACTCGAATTTCGATCAGCCCATCTTGTGTGAGTTGTGTGTATTAATCCTTTTGGATCAAAACCGCATTTAGGGATGTTAGAATAACCTGTACAGATATATAACCAATGTTGTAAAATGCGGTAAACGTTTAGTGGAAATGTGAATGGAGTCATGACGAAAATAAAAGACAATTCAGTGAAGAAAATTTTCTTTATAGACGAAATCATCTTCAGAGGCTGTACAGTCGTATTTATAATTACCAAAAATGTATAGTATTCCATTATTGAGTAGTAGGGGGGTGGTGACATGATTGACATAATTACTCAGAAGGGGCTTCAAATGTAAAAATAAAAGTTATAAAATACGTTATTCGACTTGGTTAGCAAATGAACAGTGCAAGACAGCTACTAGCTCAATTCTTGAGCACTTGGTGAACTCAAGCCATGCAGTTCCATCAGAGTCGTCTTTCAGGATTATCTACAAGGTGAGACTAAATGGTACAAAGGCAGACAGGTTTCGGCATTTGTGTACGGCGGAGGCGTGGGAGATTTGTCAATGCAACCCCTAAATCTGTATACAGAGAAATTTTGTCCAGTCTCTTATTCCGTCGTGGTCTTAACCTCTTCATTAGTCATTCCCTGTAAGAAAAATTTCAATTTTACATTTTCTCACACTTTTTAAATGGACACCCAAATACCTTTCTTCTCACTCAATAACAATTTTAATCTTACCAAATTTCTAAACCTTTCTTCCTTTGTGCCGTTGAGTATTGCGTAATTTGTAGTTTTACTTTTGAAACCACCTCCGAGTAATTATATGAATTATGTCACCCTCCCTACTATTACTCAATAATGGACTACTACATGTTTTCGATAAATATAAGTACGATTGTACATCCGGTGAAGATGATTTCGTTGAAAAAGAAAATTTTCTTAGCTGAGTGGTCTTTTGTTTTCCTCAGTCGTATAACTGCAAACAACTTTGGCGTTCGGGAAGGTGGCTGGTTGGTTTTGGCCAAAAAATCCCATTTTCACACTTCGCTGCACCTATTTTTTTGTCTTAGCGACTGGATAATTTCACCATATCTTACCTTGTGTGAGTGGGTGTTTCGTAGCTTAGTGCATAACAAGTTTGTACCGGCAAACTGCAGTCTGATTAATGGAGTATATTGCGTAGACAATAAAGATTAAGGTAAAAAGTACATCAACAATGGGTTTATAAGTTCGATGGTAACAAACCAAAATGGATAACGATAATATGCACAAAAGTGGTTTCAAGTGCGTCAGTGTTCCTTTCACTGTAAGACATTTACATGACAGTATCAAAGGTTATTAGGAGTTTACTCAGGAAGTAAGATTCTACCTATTGGGAGTTGTCAACTGGTAAATAACGCCTTGTTGTGCTACGCTTAAATGTTAGGTCTTGTTAATCAACCATATATTAGGAAAAGCAGCGTATGTATGTTGCACATGATAGTGTTTCTTGAACATCATCTGCTACAGTAAAAGTCAAATAAATATCGTTTTCTGAGCTAGACAGACAAGGTATCTATTCTAGCGTATGCTTTGTGTAGTAGTGATGTGGTTTACTACTAAGCATTTGGTCGATGGGTCTGAGTTTCGAGTCATGATTCACCTACTTGACTCTACACAGCTGAATAGTATCCCTCACACCAAAATATGTGGCTCTTAGCCTAGTACATGGAAGATCTGTTCCGGGCAACGCAGTTCTAAAAATGCTCTGTGTAACATGTTTTAAAGGGGACGGTAGTTCTACATATCAGTGTAACGGGAGAAGACAAAAGGCTTGGTAACGGACTTTTTTATTAAGGAAAAACACCGTTTTTAGCCACAGTTAAGGTTGGCTATAACGAAAATATTAATTCAGACATCTATAAAACACAAAGAATATCCTTTTCGATAATTTCCTCTTCTGGCTCTACAATTATATATAAAGAATATTGGTCAATAACAATATAAGTGTTTTTTAAATAATATCGATTTGTAAAGTGAGATCAATGGAATTACAGTTCATTAAAGATGCTTAAATTATAATAATAATAAAGATATAGTGGCAAATAGAATATCAACTAAAATTAAGGAAATTTCTACAAAAATTCAGGATTATTCAAACCTGATCCAGATTTGAGAAATAAACGCTGCTATCTCTGCAGCCAACCACTGACTTAAAATGTTGGTTTCAATTTTGTGTCCTTCCCTACCATTCTGCGTTTATATGCTACTGATAAGTTTCATGAGTAGCACACGCCACACCAGTTGTTATTTATCTAGGCGTCAAATTATAACAAGGAATATTTACCAGTTGTTGATAAATGAAACTTCTAAGTGAAGTAGATTATTCATCGGTTTAATTAAGCACTAAAAGATCCCACTTTGAATATGATTTTTGTAGTGTAAAGGCGTGAACAGTAATCTATTATGGGATGCCATGTTAGTTAGAACCTAATTAATTCACGAAAAATACCCATTAAGACATTGAAATAAGAACAAATTAGTTCAGCGAAGACTCTCTTTACGGCGAATTCATTCACTTAGCTGTACAGTCGCAAATATATACAATTAATTTTGTGTGTGTGTGTGTACATTAGGTTTGTCAAAATCGAAATAACAGTTGGTGTGGGTTTTTGATTAAAATGTGTGATTAATAATCAAAGTTGTAACTAAGTGGGGTGAAGATTGGTAAGATGTGAGTAGGGTTACGTAATATAGACATGTTTAGAAAGATTAAATGTTAGTGAAGGAGTATGGAGACAATTATGAAAATAAACTAGATAATAGGTGAAAAGATTGAATGAGTTAGTCACTAAAAATTGTTATACGAAAATTGCAAAAAATTTGATAACAAAATGTTGATGACAGATAAACTTGAAATTAAACCCACGGCAGTAGGAGGGGGTGGAGAAGTTTCTTCTGTGTGCATAAATCAGGCTTTTCTATCCAAATCTCTAAGGCTTCGGCAATACAAAGTATACGGAAGCTTGTCGATTTTGGAAGGTTTCTTTTGACTTTATAGATGACTTTGAACGACTTCTCTTTGCAAATCGAATGACCAGTGTTGAGTATATGCTCAATCAATCAGACTACTGATCTCGTCCCAGCTTCCGAAGAAGAATTCAAACATTTTAAGTCTACTATTCTAGACGCCATTATTGAGCATATACTCAACACTGGTCATTCGATTTGCAAGGAGAAGTCGTTCAAAGTCATCTATAAAGTCAAAAGAAACCTTCCAAAATCGACAAGCTTCCGTATACTTTGTATTGCCGAAGCCTTAGCGATTTGGATAGAAAAGCCTGATTTATGCACACAGAAGAAACTTCTCCACCCCCTCCTACTACCGTGGGTTTAATTTCAGGTTTATCTGTCATCAACATTTTGTTATCAAATTTTTTTTGCAATTTTAGTATAATAATTTTTAGTAACTAACCCATTCAATCTTTTCACCTATTATCTAGTTTATTTTCATAATTGTCTCCATACTCCTTCACTAACATTTAATCTTTCTAAACATGTCTATATTACGTAACCCTACTCACATCTTACCAATCTTCACCCCACTTAGTTACAACTTTGATTATTAATCACACATTTTAATCAAAAACCCACACCAACTGTTATTTTGATTTTGACAAACCTAATGTACACACAAAATAATTGTATATATATTTGCGACTGTACAGCTAAGTGAATGAATTCGCCGAAGAGAACCTAATTACGCAGTACTGGGCAATTAAACACACTTATTGTGTGAGAGCTAGTGATACTACTCAGTTATCCAGGTTGAGCGAGACTCGAATCCGAGACCTGTTAATTGGAAGTCGAATGGGCCACATCTCCACATGGAATATCATGAGTTATTATTTGTCTGAATGAAATTAACCAGCGTATTGATTTTCACTCAAATTATCATGAATGTTTGTTAAGCTTTTCTGTACAAATACAACACCAGGCAGACTGATATTATTCGGATAAGCATTCATGAATGCATTCCATAATGGGACAACATACTCTCGAGTAACTTTCGTTTCCGAAAACTTGAAGTATATTTTTGTTTCAAGTATATGTCTCACTTCAAGCATTTATATAATCCAGCAATTTTTAAGTTGTATGTAATCTCGAAAAAAAAACAGACTGAGTGAAGAAACATATCCCCTTTCAATTGGTTCCTCACCACCGACTCTACACTGTTGTAAATGCATGTTAATTGATAAGAATTTCCAATTATAAGGGGTGAAAATGACAGATTACACAGATCAAGATAGTTAGTTAGCAGAAGTTAGGATCCGATTGTTAGACAACAGGAAATATAAATTTTGAAGCGTAGGGACGGGGGTGATGGATGGGTTGAGAATATTTACAGAATTGAAAGTCGGTTGATTTGTACAAGTCATTACGTAATCAATAATTTGTAAGATAATACTGACTAAGAAGATTAAATTAATGAACTATGTAAAAATACTAAGGTACACTTAAGTTAACTGAATTAGCTCGAAAAATAATCATAATAAAAAACTATGTCAAAATGTTAGTTACAAGAATAAGTGAGAATCATTTATAAGACTCTGTACGTTACGAAATCTCCCCAAGTATCCAAATTTCTATAAGGTAATATTTGCAAGTAAGACTATAGTAGTGTTATCCAATTTAACTGCTCCTGTGGAGCCAGTTACATAGGCCGTACAATGGTATCTGGATTCTGGTACTTTAACAATTCATAATAATCCCTATATTCTACAGTCTTGACAGGAAAATGATTGACTCAGATAGCTA